AATAGAATAGAATAGAATAGAATAGAATAGAATAGAATAGAATAGAACAGAATAGAACAGAATTAGAATAGAATATAGAATGGAATATAGAATAGAAATAGAAATAGAATAGAATAGAATAGAATATAGAATAGAATAGAAATAGAATAGAATAGAATATAGAATAGAATATAGAATAGAAATAGAATAGAATAGAATAGAATAGAATATAGAGTAGAATATAGAGTAGAATAGAATAGAATAGAATAGAATAGAATATAGAATGGAATATAGAGTAGAATAGAATAGAATAGAATAGCATAGAATAGCATAGAATAGGAGTCCCCAAACCTGGCAACAAAAGCTATGCTGACTGGAGAATTCTGGGAGTTGAAGTCCACACGTCTTAAAGTTGCCAAGTTTGAAAACCTCTGGAATAGAATAACCGAGTTGGAAGGGACCTTGGAGGTCTTCTAGTCCAACCCCCCTTGCTTAGGCAGGAAACCCTAAACCTTCCAGCTGATGCTTTCGAGAGGCAGCTTTGGAAGCAGGGTAGGCAAGCGTGCTTTTCCCAAAGTCGCCTCCTTCAGAGGTTCTTGAGAAGATCATGAGCCCAGCCGGACAGCACGGAGGAAGCGGCAGGCTCCAAGCAAGTCCAAAGGAGAAACCACCTTCCAAGGGGGACTGAAGGCCGGGGGATGAGCTGGGGACACACCTGCCTTTAACACACAGGAGGCCTTCGCTGCGGGGTCATCCCAGGGTCCGTTTCCGTGTATGAGAGGAGGCAGCTCTCTCCTTGGGGGTCCGAGTCCTCTTCCTCTTCCATTAATGGCACCTGATCCATCGGGCCTGCAAATGAAGAGGAAGATCTCCCCTTCCAAATGGTTGGCAGAGAAAAACGCACCATCGCCCAGGCGGCTGCTCAGAAAAGGAATATTAGAAGATGCCCCGGTTCTTCTCCCCCAGGGGCCTGGCGCCAAGTGGGACTCCTCGCACGAAGAGGTAGGAAGGAGGAAGGGCAAGGAGCAGACAGAACCGCTTCCTTGCTCTCTACCCTCCCAAGAATGGCTGCCAAGGGCCACCCTGTCTCGCAAAGCCCATCAGCCACAGCCTGCCTTGTCCTAAATTAGACAGCCAAGCTGCCAACGGAGCCGAGGCCCCACCTGGGCGTCTCAAAGCTTTTGGGTGGCTCCTCTGAACCCACGAAGTCTCTGCTCCGGTCAAGGATATCAAACGAAATCTTTCACCGAACAGAAGAAGGAAACGGCTGGGCCTTGGAAGGACACAGCCGCTACCCTACAGGTTCGTTTTCCTTCTGTTTTGTTCTGTTTCTGTACAATACCAAAGAGAGGCTGACCTCTTTTGTCCCTACTCAAGACTTGACCTGCTTCCACTTTTCCTCATCCTTTTAAGACATGCTGGAGCAACGGATGCTCGGGGACCCCATCTGCGTCAAGACCTTATCCAGCCACTGCAAGGGGCCGTTCAGATGGAGCTCGATCCAGCAGGGCGTGCTCGTGACGGTCTGGCGCCTGGAACGGAAACACAAGAGAGGAGGAGGCATTGCGTCACCACGAGAACGTGGAGACGAGAGGAGAGGACGACCAAACGCGAAACCCAGAATCGTCTCTCTTCCTCCCGAACAGCAGAAGCACGTTAACCATCACCTTCTGGTCAAGAAGCACACCCTGTGGTCTTTATTGCAAGTTAAAAACAAGGGTGGGATTCAAATTTTTTAACAACCAGTTCTGTGGGCGTGGCTTAGTTGGTGGGCATGGCTTGGTGGTCATGTGACTGGGTGGACGTGGCTTGGTGGTCATGTGACTGGCCGGGTGTGGCCAACTCAACATCACTCACATCGAGGCATGCATCTCCTCGCCTGGCCTCTCGTGACTGTGGGGATGCTGCAACAGTCGTAAGCGTGAAAAAGGGTCACAAGTCACTTTTTTCAGTGCCATTCTAACTTTGAATGGTACCAGCGGTGGGTGGAAGAACCATCGCCTTCCGGTTCTGCTTCCTGAAAGATCAGGCCGGTGCTGGGAGATTCAGACCCCTGCCTGGTCCAGCCGCCCATGGGCTTTGCAAGGGGCCTGGGAGGGAGAGGGAGGCAGGCCAGCCCTGCTTAGCCAGGTAGGTCCCCCTCGCTGGGCCAGGGGAGGCAAACATCCAGCTGAGAGGTTCCGTGAGAGGAAGGGAATTGGAGGTGCTCCTAAACGCTGAGCCTGCCCTGGTCCAAGAGCATCTCTGTCCACCTTCTGACCTAGTTGGGGAAATAACTCTGCAAAGGTCCTGCTGTGCCATTTGGGCAATCGGGGAGAGAAAGAGAGGAGAGAGAGAGAAAGAAGAGAGAGGGAGAGAGAGAGAGAGAGAGAGGAGAGAAAGGGAGACAGAGGAGAGAGAGAGAAAGGGAAAGGGAGAGAAGAGAAAGGAGAGAAAGGGAGGAGAGAGGG